CAACTCCCGAGGACCAGTTCGAACAACAAAAGTCGCAAAAAACCTGAGTTTTTGCACCTCGACCACGCCGATTCCCGCAGAGGGTTGCGCGAGCACCGCAGAAATCGCAAAAAAACCATGGGTTTTTGCACCTCGACCACGCCGATCCCCGCAGAGGGTCGCGCGAGCAGGTTAGAAATCGCAAAAAACCATGGGTTTTTGCACCTCGACCACGCCGATCCCCGCAGAGGGTCGCGCGAGCAGGTTAGAAATCGCAAAAAACCATGGGTTTTTGCACCTCGACCACGCCGATCCCCGCAGAGGGTCGCGCGAGCAGGTTAGAAATCGCAAAAAACCATGGGTTTTTGCACCTCGACCACGCCGATCCCCGCAGAGGGTCGCGCGAGCAGGTTAGAAATCGCAAAAAACCATGGGTTTTTGCACCTCGACCACGCCGATCCCCGCAGAGGGCCGATTTTCGTGTAGTGTCGTCGGCACTACCCCGCCGCCCTAAGAAGAGATTTTAACTCCTCGCAAGTCAATTGCACTTGACTCCTTGCACTTGCAACTTGCACTTGACTCCTTGCTTGTTTCAAGGAGTCATTGCAAGCAGTTGCAAGGAGTCATTGCAAGGAGTCATTGCAAGGAGTCATGGCAAGGAGTCATTGCAAGGAGTCATTGCAAGGAGTCATTGCAAGGAGTCATTGCAAGGAGTCATTGCAAGGAGTCATTGCAAGGAGTCATTGCAAGGAGTCATGAGAGCCATTGCAAGTTGCAAGGAGCCAAGTGCATGGAGTCAAGTGCAAGTCGCAAGTGCACGGAGTTAAGTGCAAGTGCAAGTGCCAAGTGCAAGGAGCCAAGTGCAAGGAGCCAAGTGCATGGAGTCAAGTGCAAGTTGCAAGTGCATGAGAGTGCAAGTTGCAAGTGCAAGGAGTCAAGTGCAAGTTGCAAGTGCAAGGAGTCAAGTCAAGTGCAAGTTGCAAATCCTTGACTCCTTGCAATGACTCCTTGCAATGACTCCTTGCAATGACTCCTTGCAATGACTCCTTGCAATGACTCCTTGCAATGACTCCTTGCAATGACTCCTTGCAATGACTCCTTGCCTTGACTTTCATGATGATGATTCCTTGCAATGACACCTTGTAATGACTCTCATGAGAACAATTCAAGTGAACCCAGCGGAAGAACCCTTCGCCATGCTTTCGGGAAAACAAGCTTGACAAGCTCATGAAGGGTACCCCCACCCCGCAAAAATACAACACCCTCTGATGAATCCTAGCACTCTCTGCGTCTCTAGGTGGGAGAACGCCAAACAGGGCAAGGACCGGAGAGGACTGAGTTAGGGGGCAAACCCTTCAAAGTCCTTGTCAACACACCCAGCCGCACCCTCTGCTTGATTTATTTAATCATAGGTCGTTAAACTGGAGTTTGTTCGGCAACCCTTCCCCTTTTCTCAAATTTCACTCTCTCAGCCGCTTCCTTTTCTCTCTCTCTGCCTTTACTCGGGTTGGGTTGGCTTGGCGCGCGCTCGCTGGAGCGATGGCCTCCCTGAGGCTCCGGCCGGGGCGATGGAGCCGTCGCTGGAGCCCCAGAGCTTCCAGCTCTTGGGGTCCAGCTGCCGGGACTCGCCTCGCTCCGAAGTCGGAGACTCGCTCGAAAGCTTCGCGGGAGTGCCTCGACCGGACCCAACGAGTCAGAAGTACCTTCCGGGTAAAACCCGCTCCCAGAAGAAAAGAGGAGAAAAAAAGAGGGAAGGGTGACAAACCAACATATGAAGTACACCCCCTCCCAGAAAACTGATGGTACGGTCACAAACCATTCAGCGACTGGTACCTAAGAAGCCACACATGGAGCCTCCGGGTCGAATTCGCTCACAGGTTGGCCCAAAAACAGCTCGAATTCGTTTGCCGTCTATGGCTTTCCCAAATATTTCAGGAAGGCCAGCCAGTTCCTCAGCCAGTTGGAGCCATGGACACAGGATCTGGGATCTCTGTTGATTGTGAGCTCAACTAGTTGGCCCAATCGGGGAACCCGTGAAAAACGGCTTCCAAAAGGAAGCCCCCGAAAAGCACGTCCGATGTTCTAGCACAACCCCAGCTAAGCTAACTTTGAAGAACATCGTTGCTAACTGACCACCTGGCATACTGACATTGACCGCGGATGATGATTTACGTTCTTCTTGAGAAACAAGATGCTTGACCCTCCTGCAAGTTTGAACAAATCCCATTCCAAGCACACTCTTGCCTGGCACCATGATGCGAAACATAGCCACCGAATCAAATGCGACACCAGGACAGCATCGTTGAATTGAGTTTCCGCCGCCAGCCCTGAACGCCTAGGAAGCAGCAACGCAGCCCCCGCAACCTACAACCTGACTTGTGCTTCTTAGAAAATGGTGAAGGTTTGCTGAGGCCTTAACCCGCAAGCCAGGTAGCAGAACCACCAAAAATTACTAAGATGGCCAATGCGGGTCAAAGGGCACTGCTCAAGTGGCGCAAACTGCTTCCTGCCAGGTTCTGATCTTAACCCTTCCGGTGGCAAACAACTTTAAGTGGTTCTTGCAAACAACTTTGAGTGGCTCTTGCCCCAAAGAAATCCAGTAAAAAAAGCTTGTTGGAAACTGTAAATGGCCAAGCCGAGGTGCCTTGAGCACTGATCACCGTGTAGACCGTGAGCACCTTCAGCCCCACAGCTGTCGGCAAGTCGAACCAGCTGAAACCAGGGACCTTCCCCTTCCAGGTTCAACTCATGCCTTCGGCCCACCCAGTGGAACACAAATCAGTCATGAGAGCCACAAAGTTTACAGCAGGCACTCCACCACCCGCTACGGGTCCTGCCAGCTGTTTTTCAGAAGTGCGCTGCACGGCCATCCGCTAGTCTGTGCTGCAAGCTCATCCGGAAAGGCCCAGTGGGGCGTTGGGGGCGGGTGTCATATTTGGGATTGCGAACGTGAGCAAACTGCTTAGTAGGCTCATGAGCCGTTTTGATCAGGTGACTGAGTGCATAGGCCCTATGATCTTGCCCCTTGCCCACACATGCCGTTGCTATCATTCTACTCGCCCTAGTCTCGTGTGCTCTTGAGTATTTGGCAAAACTGGCTTTCCCTAGTTTCCTAATCCGCTGACTCCTTAAGAACGCACCTAATTAATACATAACATCTTTCCCAAATCCAAAACCCCTGGTACTAAACTGGACTTAGGCCAAGACAACCATTTCCATATGAACGAGTTTCCCATTGAGCCCGACTAGAAAACGGTCTCAAGAATGTGTTAATTGAACAAAACATAATAATAGCTAATTGCGTTTCAAACTGCGCGCCTTTCAATCAATGAAATGACCACAAATCCCAAACAGGCTCCCCCCATACGTTTGCTTTTGTAATGCAAGGAATGAAATGTGTTTTTACTCGAATGGCCCTCCTGAGTTGCTGCAAAAGGCAAGCCCAAGGCAGACGAATCCCCATCCTGGGGGAATCCCCCATTTTGGGCAACATGAAACTGTTTTGGGGTTGGCCAGTTTGGAATGTGGGAATGAACCCATGGATTTCCCTAAAGCAACCCCCAGTGAAATGGTTTTCTTCGGGGTCGTTCCCTCTGAAAACTCGGGCCGGCGCAATGGGCTTGCCCAGGTCCAGGAGCATTTTCACGCTGCCCGACGCGCAGACCGAAGAGTCCAAGGAGTGGTCGAAGGCCTCGCTGGCTACATCCCCAGCATCACCAGCATCACTTGGACCTGGGTGGGGTTTCTGGCTCTTGGGTGGCAGTTTGGGTTTGTGGCATGAGGGTGGGTCTTGGGGTGGTGGGTTGATTTAGGCCAAGGGCTAACATCCAGGTTGCTGTTGGGCGGGTTTAGGGTCGACTTTGAGTGGGTTTGGGGTAGGGTTTTGTGGGTGGGTCCCCGGTCCAGGACGTGGCTTGGGGGGGTCCCCCAAAATTTGCAATTCCTTGGATTCCGAAGGCACGTTGGTTGCCACAAGTCTCCTTTTGGGGGATTCTCCGGGTGATGTTCCTTCAGGGTTCCCTTTAGCACCATACACAAGGAGTACCCTCAAAAATAGCACACAGCCCTCTTCATGGACCCCTTAAGACATGTTGGCTTAGCACAACTCGAAAGGGGTCCCTTACCCGTACAAGATACATCTCCAATGTGCGTGCCGCTTTTGTTGGCCGACCCCGAGAATAGCATGGCTGTTCAAGGAAGAATTATAATCCATAATCCCAGCAGGGCAGTACTGCTGTTGTAGCCAAAGGAAAGGATTAAGGATGAAGAGTGTCTTGGAACAACCCGATGATTGGGACCGAAAGAAAGCGAATCAACCGTTCTCTTCTTGCTTCCCTTTGAACCCAACGCCCAACCCAGACCATTGGAGGCCCCTGGACGTGCCTTAGGCGCCTCTCGCGAGGCATCACAGGCCTCCTGCGGGAAAAAAGGCCACAGCCAATGTCTCCGAGCCCAAGACAAACACACAGGCCGACAGAGCAAGCCCAACCAAACGAAACCCAACTTACCCAAATAAACCAACCAAGCAACCAAGCAACCAGGCAAGCAAGCAAGCAACCAGGCAAGCAGGCAAGCAAGCAAGCAAACAAGCAAACAAGCACACAAGCGACCAAGCACACAAGCAAGCAGGCAAGCAAACAAGCGAACAAGCACGAAAGCAAGACAGCACGCAAGCAAGCAAGCAAGCAAACAAGCAAACAAGCAAGACAGCAAGCAAGCAAGTAAGCAAGCGAGCGAGCAAGCGAGCGAGCCAGCGAGCCAGCGAGCCAGCGAGCCAGCGAGCCAGCAAGCCAGCGAGCCAGCGAGCCAGCGAGCCAGCGAGCCAGCGAGCCAGCAAGCCAGCAAGCCAGCAAGCAAGCAAACAGCTAACAAACCAACCAACCATCCATCCATTCAATCAACCCACCGGCCAACGAACCAACCGACCAACCATCCAACCAACCAAGTATCCAACCAACCAACGAAACAACCAAACAACAAACCAACCAACCAACCAGCCAAACCAACCAACCAACCAACCA